AATCTTTGTTACTAGAACTTTTCATAAATAATCTTAAACATTTGAATTAATTGTCACAGAGGTTTTAATGGTGCTTAAGTTCTTATGTTATTGGGGTTCGTAGATTGGGGAATTCAAAGACCATGGATCATGAAGTTAATCTGGGGCGGACTCAGGAATTTTTTATAGGAGGGGTTGGACTAGTAAAAAGATAAATTTCTAAAAATAAACTATAAATTATTTTTCTTTTATAAAAATACTGGTATATATTCTCAATGTAACAGAAAATTTAAGATAAGATTCGTATTTTTTAACCATTAAATTCATGGATGAAAGATACATCTGGCCAATTTTGTCACAAATGTACACAAAAATTAACATATAAAGTCCTGCCCAAGCAAAGACAGAAGAAAGTTAATGGTCTTGAAATGTGCGCCATAAATGGGGGTTATTTATGGTTCTAGTGGTTGGGCTTACTTTGGACATTTTCTGCTGCTGCGAGTCTCACATGGTGGTTGCATTTAGTTATTCACAGCGTCACCATTATTAGTGGTTACTGGTGGCCGTCATTCAGGTATATCCTTCATTGTGAGACTCTTTTACTCATCACATAGGATTGATAAAAAATAAAAAAATAAAAATTGTAATGCTACACATACTGAAGGTTATGGATCCCACTTGAGCGTATCAAATGGCTGGGCATCCTTCGGCCAGCCTATTTGGTGCACCCCTTCGGTGTTAAAGAGTATTTTCCATCAGGAAATACGTCAAGCTGTTAATTATAGATGAGACCTCCAAATTAGTTTCTCAAGTTTGATAGGATTCTATTAAATGAAACCTAATTATCTTTTGGTTTTTTTGAATCTAAACTCATTGGTTACGAAATATAGAGTTTCATTTCTGATCTGTCATACCTTTTTTTTTCTACTAATTGATCTAGGTATTCCCGAAGTGTCTCGGGTTTCTTTTTTTATGATTGACGAGGCATGTGATTGTTATGCATTCAAGTGATAGTTTTATCAATCAACTTTATTACCTTAACCAAATACTCGATGTTTTTCTGACTGAAATGTGCACGGACCTCGGTCTGGATTACCAACACTTTGGAAAATTTAACCATCCTTTCGTGTCACGTGGCAATCCGTCCATGGTGCCAACTGGCATCCATATGGCTATTAGTCGTTTGTGCAGACACTAGTAAAAAAAGAGTGTATAATCACTGCAACAAATCTGCCTTTTTGTGACCAAATTGAAAAAGTTGCAAATACTATAATATTTGCGACCAAAATGAATTGGACGTGAAATTTAACGTATTTCTGACTAAAGTAAATTTTGGTCGCAATTGGGTAGTTTTTTTACGACCAAAATAAACTATGGTTGCGAAATGATAGATTTTTTACACCCAAATTTTATAGACACAAAAGGATCAAATTTTGGTCGCAATTAGTTAAGGTATCAATGACCAAAATAATTTATGGTCGCAAAAGGATAAATTTTTTACGACAAAATTTTATGGATACAAAATGATCAAATTTTGGTCTCAATTAGTTAAGGTTTTAATGACCAACATAATTTATGGTCACAAAAGCATCGATTTTTTGTGACCATAAAATTTGGTCACAAAAGGATCAAATTTTGGCCGCAATTGGGTATGGTATTAACAACCTTAGTTTTTTGCGGCCAATGTGATATAATGTATTTCTAAATGATATATACCGATGACCATATGGTATATGGACTTGAATCCCTGGTGAGGAGATCATGACACTTGTCCTGTGCCTCAAAATTACAACGTTTTGAGACACAACAACTCACCCTTGTTATATTTATTCTAAAAAATAATAAACTCACCATTATTATATTTATTCTATTTCTACTATCTCTCATTTCATATCTCTATCGCTTTATTTTCTTCACTTCTTACACCCCCATCCTCTAACCATGGCCATCTCCACCTCTTACACCTCCACTCTCTAACGAGGGCTATGGCCATCACCACCCTCTCAACCTCCTACCACCACCACCCTCTCCACCTACCACCATATTTATTAACGCATATACCTTGGTAAGGCTATACACCTAAAACGATATGTATAAATCTAATTTAAACAAGAACCAATATATCCAGGCAAATACACTCGTGAATATATATATATATATATATATATATATATATATATATATAAATACATATGTATAATCACACATTGTTCTTCTTGGTTGAAATTTCTTTAATTTTTTTTAATTAATTTTCATCATGTTGATTTATTTTGAGGGCTGATTAATATTTCAAAAAATGCAAAACAAACTATTTGAAGGAATAGACAAATACTGCCTTAATTAGCTTAATGTGATTGCCAAATATATTTATCAGTAATTGTTAGTATTTATTATTTCATTGGCAAAATAAACACATATTACTCACACTCACTTCGTTCCTTTGGGTACTCGAACCCTCACCATCTACTTTGAGTGATATAATGGAATTTAATGTCCTAAACTAAAAAAATTATTATTTTTGAATGAAATTTAAATATTTATAACTTTTCTAACAAAATGTTTTTACTTTAGATAAATTTTGAATTTTAATTTTCTTATTTTTCGCATAATGGCCAATGTTAAAACATAAATTATATATTAATTAAATACATTATATAATTAATAATTAAAAATTTTAAATGCCACAGTCTCTATAAATACATTTATGAGTAATAACTAATAATTAAACTTTTCAAACATTATTTACAAATATATATTTCAATTAATTACAATTTTATAGCAAGTCACGCCAACTTCATCATCATATAAGACCTACCATTCGAAGGTATATTTGAAAATTTATTTTCTAGCATGTTAATACAAAATATTAAAAAATACACTTTTAAAAAGTTCAGTTCTTAAACAATAAATTTTTAAGATCATTGAGTAAAGTTATCCTTAATTGATCAATCTATTAGCAAGTAGGGATGGAGCCAATGAACGCTTTGGGGTGCACGTGCCCCCTGAGTTGGCCCGTACTCTATAATATATGTGGTAATTTTTTTAATTTTTTCCATATATATGAAAAAAATTATACAGTGCTCTCCTTAAATTTTGTGGTTTATAAAATTATCTCTTTATTTTTTCTTTATTTTCTCTTTACGCTTCAAATTCCTTAAATTTTCTTAATAGAAAAGTCAAAATTTCCTTCTGCAATTAATTTTTTTTTAACTTTTCTTTTTAAAGTTCTTTCATTTTTCTTTTTCTACTTTTACTCTTAAAATTCTTATTTTTAACGATATACATATATATATATATTTTGACAGCGTGCCCCCCTCACTTGAAATCCCAACTTTTTCATCATCGATCATTGAATACGTAATAAGATTGATTGAATTATATCCATTGCCTTTGGATTAATGAGATATAGTTTTATAAGAACTAATTTTCTAAGGTAATTGATATATAAAAAAAATATCCTAAGAACATCACCATGTAAAATAATAATAATAATAATAAATAAATAATTCCAAATTTGGGTCTATATATACTTTTATAAGGGGTATTATAGGGTTGGTATTTTAGCTTTTTGGGACCCTACTTATCTGAAGCCCAAAAAACTATCTCCCCAAAATTTTGGGGGCGGGAAATATTAACGCCACCAGGCTTTTCGTGAATTTTAAGTCAAATAGCACTGGTAGGCAGCAAGTATGCTCTTTCACAGCCCAAGACAAATAAGAAACATTATAGCCCAAGTAAATAAGAAACATTACAGCCCAAGACAAATAAAATCATTGCTCTCTCTCCCTCTGCTCTCACTAGGGATGACAATGGGGCGGGTTTCCCTAAATCCCGCCTCGCCCTTTTTAATTTTTGTCAAGTCTATGCCCGCCTCGAGACCCGCGACGGGTTAGATTTTCATGTTCAGCCCCGCCCTGTTGTGAAATACTGTGCCCCGTGCCCGCTCCGCTAACAAATTTTTTTCTCCCACGTTTTGGAACTTAAGCTCGTGCTATTTAAATGTGGAAAGCCTGGGAATGGCACAATATAAATGAAATTATGTATCCCAACAAAAATAAAAAAATAACACACACATAACATAATTCAGAGAACATAATAAACAAAAATAGAAATTTAATACAACCAAATCACAAAAAGTTCTAAGCTTCAACTCCCACCATAACCAAAACAAAAACAAATTTAATACCAAGTTTACATCCCAAATTAGGATGTAAGAGATGGACAACTCGGTAAGCCGCTAAAATAAGTTATTAATATTATATATATATATAATATAGTTATATACTTAGTGGGGTAGGGCGGGACCCTGAGATATGTGTACTAAACCCTTACCCGTCCTGTGATGGTACAAAATTTATGTTCATGCCTGTCCCAACAATATAAAAAGTGTTCCTATATTTATTATTAGTGGGTGGGACCAGGCGGAGCCTGGCAGGGCTGTAAAAATTGACATCCAAGCTCTCACTCAAGAGGAAACGGTGCCCTAATTTTAGGGCAAATCATTTCGGGTGTGTTTGGTAGGGTTGATTTGGAGGGATAGGGAGAGAAAAGAAAAGAGAGGATAGTGTAACTTTGTGTTTGGGTAACTTAAGTAGAGGGATAGGAAGGGATAAGGAGAGATAGGGAGGGATAGCTATCCCTCCCTATCTCTTATTTGATTTCTCCTCAAAATTGAGAAGATAGGGAGAGATAGTGAGAGAAAGGATAGTGATTTTAGTGGTATTTTGATAATACCAAAATTAGCCTCCACAAATCAATTGACAGATTTATTATTCCATTCAAGTCCTATGATTATGAAAGAGTAAAAAAGTAATTTGTCTATTATCCTTTCTTTTATTTTCTCTCATCTATCTTATCCAAACAAAAATAACTATCACTTCTTTTCTTTTCTCTGTTATCTATCCAAACACAAATAAAAATTATTACTATCATTTCTTTTCTTTTCTTTTCTTTTCTCACTAATTCTATCTTTTCTTTTCTTTTCTTTTCTCTCGTTACTAATACTATCAAACACACCCTCACCTTCCCCAGTCGCCTCCATCTCTATTCTCGTTCTCAACTCTGAAGTTGCCCTCTTTCTATCTCTGCAACTGCAACCTACAAAATCTACAAGAATCAGAAGTTCAAAACCCATATAATTAAGTTTATCTATCTGTCCGCAAGAATCAAAAGTTCAAAACCTATTACCTATATCAAAACCCATATCGGCATATCATTTCAGATTGTTCAAAAAATCAAAACCCATTTCTTTCAGTTTCCATCGCCCGCTGTTTCAGTTCGGGTCGCCGTTCGCAAGCTTCAGTTGCTGGCTCTCAACTCTCAAGCTTGCCCCCTCTCTCCCTCTGCAACTGCTAACTTGTATGTACGGGTTTTGTGTTAATTTTTTTTCTAAATCAACTAATCAAGCTCTGTAATTCTCTGTTGATTTTTTCTAAATCAACTAATCCATGGCAGCGGCGGCCTCTGCTCTCTTCCTTCTTGACATCAAAGGCCGTGTTCTGGTGTGACGCAACTACAGTTCGATGTATCAGCTGTTCAGGCCAAGAAACTCTTCACCAGACCCATTGAGAAAGAGGTTCGATTCTTGTCTACTTTTTTCGATAGATTATGTTCCAAGTTTGGTTGATTTTGGTGATATATGTGAAATTTGACTTTAATCACGAGTTGCTTTCATAAATTTCGAAAATGTGTGATTGCTCCTGGTGGTAGATTATAAATTTTAATGATGCTTATGTGCTTGGGCCTATAGAAAATTGCTGAGCTTAATGGCAAATAGAGTTATGCTTATGTTCGTTGCCTTGGTATTTACTCATCTCCTCTCTGCTTCTACCTTCCCTTCCTCTCCAATTTTTATCCTACCAAAAAGTAAGTCTAGCTGTATCGGGTTTATAATGTTGTTTTAGTTTTAAAATGAAAATCAGTTTCAGTTATCAAAAGGTTTGGGATGGAGTCAAAATAGTGGAGTCTAGTTCTCAAGTCCTGCTTCTACCGGAAGCTGAAGGGATGGACTGGAACTAAACCTGGAGAAAAGGTATGGGATTAGGAAAGTTATGACTAAGGAAAAAAATAAGTTGAAAAATCTATTATTAGAAAAATTGAAAAGTACACTACAAGGAAAAATGACATGACATGCATGTGCATGCTCTAATCACTAGTCACTCTCCCTCTAGTCACTCATCCTTATTCCCCCTCCTCTCACTTTCTATCTCCTAAAGCATTGTAGGTTACTATTTGGTGGGTAAGTCAAGAGAGGAGAAAAGCAGTCCCAAATTCATCTTCCCCAAACTGAATCAGCAGAAGGAGGGCCACATTGAAGGGAAACCATAGCTGAAATAACAAAACAGAACCAGTAATCCCATGTAACATCCCCAAAAAAATAAACCACTCAGCATTTAAACACTTAATACGCCTCAACATAATGGAAATACAAAACCAGCAAAGAAAAGTGACTGCAGAATATATATTTGAGCAACAATCAAGCATTTTTAAAAATATTATCTGGCTGCCCCCACTCTCTTTTTAACTATAAATTCATATAACAATTTGAAGAGAATAATCTTAGCAGAACCGGCTGAATAATCTCAGTTTTGAGAGTATCCCAATCTCTATACTTATTAAAGAACAATATTTATTTCAAAGGTGTTTGTATTATACTGTAGCATGTAAGTTTTTATCTAAGATTTCTCAAGTATGATAGAAAAAATTCTGGTGCAATATCTTTAGAAAAAAAAAATGACAATGAAGAATAAGGATTGTGTTTAACTAGTTTCCCTGGAGAATAGTTGAAACCATATTAAGAATTCGTTGAAGAAGGTTAAGGATAAAATTAATTGGGGCAACATACTATAACTTTTCTGCCACTTCCATAGTAAATCCTACCTCCATTAAGTGACTTTACCAAATTGTCCGTGTATTTCAATCTAAGATTGACCACAATCTATTTGCACCAATCAGTTCATACAATGAAACTAAGTATTAGAAGAACATAAGAAATTACAAATAAAAATTTAGAAATCCTACAAGTCCGTAAAAGAGAAATTATTGCTTAAATGTGAAAATGTTAAGGAACATGAGCTCATAAAAAATGTTTAATCATAATATATGTTTCAAGATGGCAGGTTAAGTACATTGGTGAAGGAGCCAAACAATTACTAAAACTGATAACTCTATAGAACATGAAATTCAATGCAATAATGGCACTAGTTTGAAATTGTTTAAACAATTAGGCCAGACCAGGAACATCAGTGGACCATAGAGCAAAGTTTGGAGCTTAAACTACAAAGCAAAGTGTGGAAAGAGACCTTTGTTAAGGGCTCACTTAGATTCTGCTTTATTGGTACTGGAATATCAAGATGATGTTCTTTCATTACCTTTGATAAGTACTTTTCAAACCCAAAAAACACTACATTACAAGATCAACCCTATCAAGACTTTACAACAAAAAGTACCTTGGTTGTCTATTAAAGCAAATGCTGGAGCTATTTTTTTTTTACTTTTTCCTGAACGATCAAGCAAGTGGGCGCACACTCACAATATAGCCCTACTAGGGCTCAAACTCTTGACCTCCCCTTTAGGAAGTAGAGCTCATACCATTTGGCTAACGCTCATTGGTATGCTGGAACTGTTTCCCTACACTGGTATTGCTAGTTTTATAATAGCACTCCCTCAATAACTGGAAGGAAGATAGAAAATATATGGAAGAAAGATTACGGTTATGTGAAATTAAGAATATGTGGTAAACCTTGGCTCTTTGGTTCCAAGAAGAAATATGCCAACGAATCAGCATTCAATAAAAATTGACAAATGTGCTATCCAGCGGTACTGCCCAAACATGAATGAAGTAAGAGCACACTCAAATGAAAATCCTTTAACACCTAGAATAACTTTAATTAAATCAACACACCTGACTTTCAACATCAGCAAGTGTCCTTGATGTATTGAATCGGAATACTATAAAAGCAACTCAATACAGGCTTAGGTTGGCGACCTGTGAAAAAATGTTTGAACCATTCAACCAAAAATTAAAAGAATGAGCACTACCTTCTATAAAATGCCTAGTCATGCTAAATAGAACTATACATAAAAATCAGATTCAGGGAGGTGCTAACCATTGTAAAAGCATTGCGACAACTAGCCAAAATTACTCTACTTGTTGAATTCAGCATGATGCAATTCACCATAGACCTGCAAAAAATAAGAGGAAAACAAGTTATGCAATTTTCCAATTTTTTTTTCTTCCTAATTGGTATTCAAACCCCCTCGCCCCTCACTCCACCTGATGCTTCTTGAGGCACCAATGCCAAGTGGAAATTCCACTTGGGCCAACCCTTGGGGTTAGCCCGTGGTGGTAATTTGGGACTTGGAGGAGTTCACTGGTGGACCATTATTTTTATGTAATTCCTATTCCATCTTTTACTTTGTCCAGTTAACTCTATAAATTATTCTGATACTCTTCAGCAATGCTTTAACACTAAACTGCATGTACATATAACAAAAATTACTAATTGTAGTTGGACATTCACACATGAGTCGTTAACCAATTACATTCCTAAAATGATTAAAAGATGAGTAATAGAACACCTGATGAGGATGTTTGCTCCATTACCTTAATAGAACAGTAGTATATAAGCATTTTTATCAGTGATTATATACGAAGAGAATTTGAATAGTGTTATAGAAATCCATGTAACACAAACAAATAAAAATACAATAGTGAAGGGGCAGCCACTAGTGCCTCTTCCCTTTTTATAAAGTGGGAAGGATAAAGAAAGAAAAAAGAAGGGGAAAAAAAAGAAGAAGATGCCTGGCACACTTGAAACTGGTCAGAGGAAGTCATTACATGTGTGAAACTTGAGTTGCAGCCCAACCCACATTGAAGATAGCTGCAAAAATGCTGTATCCAATAGTTTGCACAGTAAATGAATTGGTGCCAAGGATCTTGCAAGGCAGGCAACCGCCAAAAACAGAAGAAAATGAAACAGCGACTAAAACAGATCCTGCACCATGCCAAATTTTGAAATGCCCAAACCTGTCTATCTATCATGTGAAAAAAAGGAGAAAGTTATTTCTCAAAAAGATAAAGATTATCTTTATTTACCAGTATAAAGCATAAAATCTTGAACAATTCAAAAATTACATTAAATCCAAACAATTAGGAAACAAAATATGCTGACATCTGAAGATCATTAAACTGACCCTGCTCAGTAAAAACGATTGTATATTTAAATATTGCAAGTATAATCAAAGATTTGACTTCTGCTTCAGGCATGGCCATGGCCTCCTTGCTTGCAGATGCTATCAATTATGTGAATTTTGGGAACTAATATGGAGAAAAATTAACAAAGCTATCTGTTTCTCATATCAAATGGATTTTCAAAGAGTTGGAATGGATAAAGTGGTACACAGACAACCTAGAAAAAAGGACTAGCCCAGTGCATGAGGCTCCCGCCACTGCGGGGTCTTGGGAGTGTTTGATGTACGCAGCCTTACCTCCGTATGCGGAGCGGAGAGGCTGTTTCCTGATTCAAACCCGTGACCTCCGGGACACAATGGAGCAACCTTACCATTGCCAAGGCCCCCCCTAGGTAAACACAGACAACCTTCCCCACCCAAAAAGGAAGTGAAAGCAGTCCAAATCAAATACCGAGGCACAAAAAGACTCCCATTTTACAATTATCAAAGTGGGAAAAGAATCAATGCAAAATCAATAGTAAACTTTCCATGAGTCCAAAAGAAAATTTACCTAGATATAACTGTTGTTGTGTCCAAATTCTTGTTTTTTTTTCTTTTCTTTTTCTCTAGTCTCTAAATTCAGGTCATGTAGAGAAACTGACCTGCCTGGACCAAAGGCAGTTTTTGGCCAGGACAGTGGACACATCAACAGATACAGTGATGGATCCAAGGAATTGTTAGCTAGGATGCATCTAAAGATATGTCCAAACGTCTATAGGAAAAGCCTAAAATTGCCACAGGTATAAAACTACTTGCAACCAAAACCAAAGCCACTTGTACGAACTACGAACTGTACTTTTCCAATCTTATCAACCCATAAATACACATTTATAGTTACAGCCAGAAGAACATGGATGCGACAGTAGTTCATCCTAGCCTGGGCTTGAATTTTTGTACTTCTTTCCACTTTTGCCTCAATTCACATCACACCTGAGACTTGCCACATCACCTTTATGCCTAATATATCCTCCAATGTCCAAAATGCTAAAGCTCTCCAATACATATAATACTTCTGTACTCCACTATTCAACGCTCACTCATTATATATTTGTCATTTGTTCACACAATTTATGCATCATCATCTCCAATACGCACTACACCCAATAAAAGCTAAAGCCTACACTTAAAATTTTCTCAGAACCTCTTAAACACTTCAACGAAGGCCCTAAAAGATTAAAAGTCCTAATATCAAGTGAATAAGAAAAAGAAGAAAAGAGGAGGCTTCTCTAGTACTTTTATCTTATTTTTAGTTGCCCAAACAATGTGAGTCTTCAGTCCCAACTTATACTAGAGAGTATTCTCTTATTCTACCATTTCTCTTTTTCTTTAAGCCTTATTTGTAGATTAGTCTATTTGGTGTTGCTCTAACCCTTAAGGAACTGTTTTTTCCTATAGAGCTGTCAAAAATAATTGCTTGCTAAATAGCCAGATGGTGCATTGAGTTTGGAGAATATCTAACACATTTTTCGTAAATATATTCCTTCAATAAATTTTACCTACTGTATGTCCAAATTGAGCATATACGATATGGGAATGGGTTGTGTCTGACATATTATAACAGAATACTTAATCATCCTCATGTGATGATGGAAAAAGACGAAGAACTCAAATTTGGTACCAGAGAATGGTATACTCCCTTTTCTAACAACACTTCCATATATCCTAAGATTAGAGATTCGTGGAGATCCATCACTTAAATTCAGGTCACACGTTTGACATGTTCATTCGCAAGGTTAAACCCTCTCCCACCTGACACTGGATTTGAATAACCACCACCCAAAAAGTGAAATTTCTTGCATAGTTTACAACAATAAACTGACACAGTAATATTATTCCAGCAAAAAGACTAAACAACCTAAGAGATGAAGTCCATCCCAAACATGTATTTTCAAATCCTGCCTTGGGATTACGATCTCACTTTCCTACTCCATCTCAGTGTCGCTTTACAAACTTTAGGCATAGAAAATTCATGTTAGTTGGACATGAGGGATAGGTCGGGCACCCTAGGCTTTGATAGTCAGAGTACACTAAGTCCCAAACTCGACCTAGGTTGTTGACCAGTAGCAGCAGATAGTGAAGCTCTGTTGTGTGACTGGTTCAAAAGGTTACCTAGGTGATTTTAGGGTAAGAATTTGAGACCTACAGTTGTATACGATATGGGAATGGGTTGTGTCCGACATATTATAACAGAATACTTAATCATCCTCATGTGATGATGGAAAAAGACGAAGAACTCAAATTTGGTACCAGAGAATGGTATACTCCCTTTTCTAACAACACTTCCATATATCCTAAGATTAGAGATTCGTGGAGATCCATCACTTAAATTCAGGTCACACGTTTGACATGTTCATTCGCAAGGTTAAACCCTCTCCCACCTGACACTGGATTTGAATAACCACCACCCAAAAAGTGAAATTTCTTGCATAGTTTACAACAATAAACTGACACAGTAATATTATTCCAGCAAAAAGACTAAACAACCTAAGAGATGAAGTCCATCCCAAACATGTATTTTCAAATCCTGCCTTGGGATTACGATCTCACTTTCCTACTCCATCTCAGTGTCGCTTTACAAACTTTAGGCATAGAAAATTCATGTTAGTTGGACATGAGGGATAGGTCGGGCACCCTAGGCTTTGATAGTCAGAGTACACTAAGTCCCAAACTCGACCTAGGTTGTTGACCAGTAGCAGCAGATAGTGAAGCTCTGTTGTGTGACTGGTTCAAAAGGTTACCTAGGTGATTTTAGGGTAAGAATTTGAGACCTACAGTTGTAACCTCCTTTTTTGGTTTTTTTTTTTTTTTTAAATAGTGATTGTTCTATTTGGATTGCATTCACTATTTGGACTAGGTCCCAACTTTATCTTAATTGTAGTTCATTGCACTATTTTTCATTTATATTGTGGCATTCGAATTGTTAATTAACAATTTAAATTTTTGTTAAATTTGTTACAACTGATTTTCAAGACCTATTCAGGTCTAGTTTGAGACCTAGCTTACTTTGACGTATTAGAGCCTATGTTGCTAATCCTTCCCTAACAGCTCTGTTTGATATTTTAAAGCCATGGAAATTGTAAAATGCTAGTAGAAAGAGCTAATGCTCGCTTTATCTTTGGGATTGACAGAAGTTGTCAATAACTCATCAAGTATGACATTCAAAAGGGAATCATCTCAACTCTGACCATGATTTAAATTTATATATACTAGGACTCTTGAAATGTAAACATTTAATGGAAGATGATTATGATGACACAAAATTGGCGCATGCTTTCCTTTTAGATGCCATGCCAGCGATTATGCTGCCGTAAACACAATATTACTGAAAGCTCTCCAGAACTTTGATTGACCAAACATTTCCACAGTAAACCATATTGTATGCTCATTTATCTTCCTTCTCATAAAAGTGTCACATCTCAGCATTAATGACATTAAAAAAATAGCTCATATGAATTGATGCATTATAATCAAATTAACTACCAGTATGAATTAGGAAACGTACGTTGGGGACAGTCCAATATCTGTCAAGAAAACTAAGAGATAAGTAAACCAACATGCAGATGTAATATCATTCAGCATGTGCCCCACGCCATAGTAGAAAACAGACAATCTTCCAAGGGTTTTACTGCATGATTCCTGATCTCCCATACCATTAACCATAAGTTACACAAAGTCAAATTTCAGATTTCCCGATCAATGAAAACCCTGCAAAACATTAATTCAGGCTTCAAAAATGTAAATATATCTTACCCACTGATCAAAACAATTTATTTGTAAATCTTAAATAACATATACTACGAAATGTACTGAGAGGTTTAAAAATATATTGACCAATGATATCCTAAAAAAAATGGTCCAGTTAACCTAGATTTCGAGGAGGGAAGGGGAGTTTAGGTATCATTCTTGCAAGATGGGAGCACCATAGCAGCACCACAAGGGTGTGACCAAAGAGGCAAACAACTGAATAAAGAGTTCAACTAATTAGGGAAACAATTAGCAAACATTTCTTCTTCTTTTTTTTTGGGCAATATCATACTTTCCCCCATATTTGCAACTGTAATTCAAAACTCACATGAAAAATACTTGACAATTAACTTCGGTTCTCACTCATATTATACAATAAAACAGTAACACCATATTTCTTGAATACTTAAATATACTTATTAGTTGGGTCTTGCAAATTGTTGTAATGAACTCCCACCAACTCATCAAATCTCCAAATCTACACAATCATACAAATTCTACCCCAAACAATTCACCAATAGAATCATAACCCAATAAATATGGTTACTCGCACTATGCATAGAATCAAACCCTACCCAAACACACACACACACACACACACACACACACACACACACATAGAATTCATACCTCTGGGCAAGCTACATAAAACCCATGGAATTCCTCAGCTGAAACCTTTTCTTGGACCCAGAAGAAACTGAGCTTAACCAGGAAGACACTCAAAGAGGGAGAATCCGAATAGCTTGGTGGGAACACTACATAAAGTTACACGTATATGTACATATATGTGTAAGTTACATTTATGGATATTCAAGAATTATAATACATGGCCTTTTACTGTGTTTCTATGTATATGAAAGAGAGAGAATTGAGGAAAATCTAAATATGCATCGGAACTTAAAATTATAGAGCATATGCGGCAGAGATTTATGTGGGGTCCAATTTCAACTGACCTCAACTACCATTCTTTTGTGCTGTATGTCGGCCCTAAAATATCAGAATAGAAGGTGCATAATAAAATATAGTGATGCTTACTTTATAAAAGTCAGCATTGATTTTATAAAATTGAGCATTGATTATAGGAATCTCTGATGTTTCAGTCACAACTGACTTGTCTTTTTGTAACAATTTTCACACTTGGATGAGATAAGTATCGTCTTGGGGTTGCAATTTGATTTGTGATTCCAAACCGTTCCACGTCAGCTCCTTAAATTTTTTATTTTTTATCTTAATTATTTTAAAAATAAAGTATTACTATTGAATAAAAATTAATGAAAAATGATAAGTATTTCCATAATTAAACACATTCAACTTTTTATATAACATAAATATAGTCAAATATGTTTAATTTTGGAATTATGTATCACAACTCAAAATTGATATCAATTCTTTCAAAAAGCTGAAATTTGATTCTCACAAACATAATAGGATTTTTGGAATTTTGAGCATTTTGTGTCCGCAACTCCAAATTCCTTTTGAAGTAATTATAGGGCATCTATTTTTAATCCACATATATATATTCGGTTTTTTTTTTTTTTTTTTTAAGGTAATTATTCACGCATGCACTCCACAACAAAGATTCAACTTCTCACTCTAAAAGATAAGATGTTATACAAATTGAGTTAATGATTCATTAATTATCATTACTTTGATGAGAAGCAAGAATGTAATTTTCAAAATAATTAATAAATACATTTGACAATTGACATTATAAGTTCATGTACTCTAAACTATTATCATCTCAGTTTTCATATTCTTAATTTTTAACACCTATATTAATCAAAACTCATTTGGTGCAATCAACATTTAATTGCATCAATTTTTTCATTACAAAAGCATCTACTCGTCTCATGACCTAACTTATATATAAGAAAGTGAAAATTACATTAACTTCTCATAGAGTTAGTTTGGTTAGCGTAGAAGAAATATAAAATTTTTAACAGTTTGATTAGTGTGAATTTTTTTTTTTTTTTTTCCATGAAAGTAATATTCTCGCAACTCATTGATTTTTCTGAAAATATTTTTTTCAAAAAATAAGAGAAAATTCTAATTTCTCGTGAAAGTTATATCATTATATTTTGATTCTCTATTATACCCTCATTAGTTATTTATTCAATCTTCCCTTTCCTCATAGATATATTAGAATTCTGTTATTAATTTACAATTTTAAAAATTTTTAAATTATGATTCTTCCTCACGCTCACAAAAGAAGTGAGCTAAACTAATACAGTAATAGAGTTCTGATATATATTGCAAAAAAATAAAAACTATTTAATTACCCTCATTTATTCTCCTTTAAAGATTCTAACCTTATTAATTAAACGTGGGGCACTGGCTTATAAGATGTCCCACTTAAGTATCAAAACCTAGTTATGTGGGGTCATATAAGTAAAAACACTTTTTGACTGAAGAATTGGTCTCACTGGTTGCTTATGTAATTAGAAACCCAATAATTTGGAGTCAAGACAAACATTGTGCATAAATAATGTCAATGCTAAATATTGAATTTTACGGTGCGAATGCGATTCTAAAGTGCACATATATATATAAATTGATAGGAAATAAATAATCTGAAAATCCTAAAAAGTGAAAATCCAAGCTTGTGGAAATCATCGAGTGACATCAGTGTCAAGATTTGCGGCAAGCTTTGGCATTACATGAGTTTGGTGGGATAAGGCACTTTTATTAAGGGAATGGGTTGCTTGAATATTAATTTCATTTCCAATTTCAGGACCACCCCATTCAGAGTCATCATCATCTTCTTATTTGGACTGTGTTTCATCATGTCCTGTGACTTGTGTTTGCAACCAACAGTGTGGTGTGTCATATGGATTCTAATAATTATATTAAATGCCACATAGATGATGATAGAACTACTGTGGGATCTATGTTTGGTTCCACTTGTGGGTCCCACTTGTTGCTTGGATGAACGGGCTTATGTTAACCACGTGTTTACTTAATTATGTATGTTAGGTGCAAATTCAGTTCATGTATTGCGTTGGTGTTCACTGAAACTCATTGGTTATTTCGTTATATGAGCTCCAGTGTGAACAACTCACTATATCAGTGGAACTCAAAAATCACTAGTTGTTTCAAGCGTGGGGATGTTGAGAACGCATGCCGTCTGTTTGATGAAATGCCTAACAAGAATGTGGTGACTTGGAACTGTATGATTTCTGGGTATATTAGGAATGGGAGGGTTCGTGAGGCTCGTGAGATATTCAATGTTATGCCTAGTAGGAATGTTGTGTCTTGGACGGCAATGTTAAGTGGGTATGCCAAGTGTGGAAGGTTAGAAGAAGCTCGGAGTTTGTTCGAGGCGATACATGATAAAAATGTGGTTTGTTGGAATTCTATGATATCTGGTTATGTAAACAATGGACAAGTAGATGAGGCCAGAAAATTGTTTGATTTAATGCCTGTTAAGAATTCTGTATCGTGGGTGACTATGATTGAAGGGTATTTTCATTGTGGGTTTGTAAGTGAAGCCGAGGTGTTGTTTGGTCAAGCTCCTGTAAGGAGTGTTTCATTGTATAATGCAATGCTGGCTGGTTATGCTGATATGGGATATGTTGAAGATTCACACAAACTATTTTTGGGAATGCCTCGACGTGATGTGGCTTCGTGGACTAGTATGATAACTTGTTTCTTGAGAGCAAAAAAGATGGATAGTGCTAGGGCCTTGTTTGAGGAGATGCCTGAAAAGGATGTAGTGGCTTGGACTGTGATGATTCGGGGTTATCTGTATTATAATCGGATTGAAGAGGCTACAAAATTATTCAATGAAATGCCCCATCGGGATCTCATTGCATGGAACTCAATGATTGGTGGATATGTTCAGAATGGAAGGTTTGAAGACGCTCTTGAATTGTTCATGAAGATGCCACAGCGAGACATTGTGTCATGGAATTCAATACTACAGGGATATGTGCAACAAGATGATATGATAAATGCTAGGGGCTTTTTTGGACAGATGCTGTGGAAAGATGAGACCTCATGGAATACTATGATTTCAGGATGTCAATCTGAAGAAGCTTTTATTTTACATTACCACATGTTGCAGACTGGACTTAAGCCTGATCAAGGTACATTTACCACTGTAATCTCGGTCTGTGGTGCACTTGCTGCGCATGGGTGGGGTAGAGCAATGCATCTTTGTGTGATCAAAACTGGTTTTGAAAATGATACTGTTGTATTAAGTTCATTAATATCCATGTATTCCAAATGTGGCTTTATAAATGCTGCTACTCTAGTATTTCAAGGGATGATAAACAGGGATACGGTGGCATGGAATGCCATAATCGTGGCACAAGCTTATCATGGTTCTGCTGTTGAAGCTCTCAAGCTCTTTCATTCCATGACTCAAGCTGGATTGGAACCGGATCACGTGACTTTTCTTGGCCTCTTGATTGCGTGTGCTCATTCAGGTCTGGTCAATGAGGGCTGGAAATACTTCAAGTCTATGGCGAAACATTGGAATCTGATTCCAAAGCCAGAACATTATGCCTGCATGGTTGATGTCCTTGGTAGATCAGGATTGCTAGCTGAAGCATATGAACTGGTTAAACAATTGCCTGTGGATATCCCATCACATACTTGGGGAACATTAATAAGTTCTTGTAGAGTCCATGAGAATTTTGGTCTAGGCAAACTTGGTGCACAGATGCTTTTAAGTACTCAACCTTCAAATGTAGGGATGTATATACTTTTGTCAAATATATATGCTGCAAGAGGGATGTGGCAGGATGTAGCAAATATTAGAGCATTACTGAAGCATCACCGGTTGAAGAAGGAACTGGCACGCAGTTGGATTGAGGTGAGTGGTCAGATTCATCAGTTTGTGTACAATGACATATCTCATCCCCGAATAGAGGACATATACAAAGAATTGGAGAATCTTTCCGTAATCATCGAGGAAATAGGCCCAATAATGCAGTGTTAAGGATTTTTTTTTTTTTTGTTTTTCCTATACAGGAATGTACATGTATTTTTGTATCTTTGTGTCAGTGGTTCGTGTAGATCGTGCTTCATATATAGTACCACATTTTTAAAATCTTGTAGGAGTTAGAGAAGCATGAGGGTAGCTATCTGTCTCCAGGAATTAGTTTACAAATGCAAACTCGTGGTTCATTCAATGATGTTCCAGACTTGGATTTTAATGAAATTGTATCATGGATGGTAGTCCTTTTGCATTCCTTCCTTGGCAGACAGATTTCTTGGTGGTTTTATCATTAATTTTTGGTAAGTAAGACACATGCACACACCCACCATTTCCCCTTACGGGCACTCAAATCCTCAACATTAAATTTGGAAATTAAAGAAAGTACCACTAGAGCTAAGCTCTTGGTGGTGGTTTTATTTTTCACTTTACGGTATTTTCATCCTTGTAAATATAAATTGCATTCTGTATAGTAGCTGCGCAGTATGGATACCCTGTTTCATTGTGATAGATGCAACCTAATTTTGTGACTTAAGCAGGAAAGAAGGAAGGGATTTTTATGATTAGAATATGAATTGAAGTCTTGTTCTCACCAAGCTTAATCGAGTTTGTCTGTACAAGGCAAAAGAAGTATTGTCTTAGCAAGCAAGGGAAGCTCCAAGCACTAGAACCTCAATTACTTCTAATCCATCTTAGAGTTGTACAATTCTGGGAATGTTATTCGCTCATGCTCATATGTTATTCCTATTTTTTGTAACATTTTGATTCAAGATCAGCAAACAATCAATTACCCCCTCAATGCATATCTACAATCTTTTTGCGTCCATGCTGGATTTTTTATATTGTAAAGTAAGAAATTGGGATTGTAAAGTGCTTTCGATCAGAGTGGTATATTCGGCTTTATTCCTAGTAAGCATCCATGGTTTATTTTTCTGATAAGTGTTTCTATTGTTTGTGTTACACCTTGTAAATTTGTTTCACGAAGTTCTTGGTTGAATAAATTCACTATACAATAGAGTGTTGGTTGGTTAGCTAAGATGGGATATGTTGAAGATCTTGTACGTACAAGCTATTTATAGGAATGCCTCAATTTCATCTGGCTTCATAGACTTCTACTATAATATCTTGTTTTCAGGGAACTGGGCAATGGAAAGTGCTAGGGCTTGTTTGAGGAGATGCCTGAATGGGATGTAGTGTCTTTGTGATATTTTAGGATTATTTTACATAATATGTAATTTTATCAGAATTCTAAGAATTTAATGAAGTTCCTTATCGTGATGGTGCAGGGTACTCGATGATTGAAGCTATGTTGCGAATAGAAGGTTGGAAGATATTTTTAATATTTTCATGAAGATGCCGTGCATGGTAGAATACTAGTCCATTTAATTTAACACTGCAGGGATATGTAACAAGACATAATTTATGTTCAGTGCTTTTCTGACCAGATGTGTGCAGTGACGAAGTCTCAACGCATTGCATAGAAATGTGCACTTTGGTAATGGAAATGAGCGCATCAAGGCATCAGGTTTCAAGAGTGCTGGATAGTCTTGGCTGAGCCATTTTACATTTCCAGGTAAGTGGTACTTTATTGGGTTTGGTGTCCTTGATCACTCTTGTAGAACTTATCATAAGCTCTCGACTAAACTTTGTCTGAACCTTGCAGTTTAATCCGAATTCCCTATTTCTTTAGAGTAGATAGGAAGGACATGTTAGAAAGGACACATTTAAAAGGAGACTAATTCTATGAAATAGAATCTACACTAAAAAAAATACTTCAAAAACAGGATAGACTTCATAGATTAAGAAACTAAGGTATACTGAATACTATATTCAACTCACATCTATGTGTAAAGTCTAATCTGATGAAATTGATTTTTAAATGAGGTGGGACAAACTAAATCATGTTTGGTTTATGCCTAATTTATATGCATGTGATATCCTTATTTGTTATATAAATGGGTCACCAATAAATACATGTGGTACCAAGGCCAACATATACGGCCTTAATCTTTGTTACTAGAACTCTTCCTAAATAATTTAAACATTTGAATTAATTGTCACAGAGGTTTTAATGGTGCTTAAGTTCTTATGTTATTGGGGTTCGTAGATTGGGGAATTCAAAGATCATGGATCATGAAGCTAATCTGGGGTGGACTCAGGAATTTTTTATAGGAGGGGTTGGGCTAGTAAAAAGATAATTTTCTAAAAATAAACTATAAATTATTTTTCTTTTATAAAAATACTGGTATATATTCTTAATGTAACAGAAAATTTAAGATAAGATTAGTATTTTTTAACCATTAAATTCATGGATGAAAAATACATCTGGCCAACATTGTCACAAATGTACACAAAAATTAATATACAAAGTCCTGCCCAAGCAAAGATAGAAGAAAGTTAATGGTCTTGAAATGTGCGCCATAAATGGGGGTTATTTATGGTTCTAGTGGTTGGGCTTACTTTGGACATTTTCTGCTGCTGTGAGTCTCACATGGTGGCTGCATTTAGTTATTCACAGCGTCACCATTATTAGTGGTTACTGGTGGCCGTCATTCAGGTATATCCTCCCTTGTGAGACTCTTTTACTCATCACATAGGATTGATTAAAAAAAAAAAATAAAAAAAAAATAAAAAAATAATTGTCATGCTACACACACTGAAGGTTATGGATCCCACTTGAGCGCATCAAATGGCTGGGCATCCTTCGGCCAGCCTGTTCGGTGCACCCCTTTGGTGTTAAAAAGTATTTTCCATTAGGAAATACGTCAAGCTGTTAATCATGGATGAGACCTCCAAATTAGCTTCTCAAGTCTGATAGGATTTTATGGCATATTAGATGTTCCTCTAATAGATGAAACCTAATTATCTTTAGGTTTCTTGAATCTAAATTCATTGGTGAAGAAATATAGAGCTCCATTTCTGATCTGTCATATCTTTTTTTTTTCCTACTAATTGATCTAGGTATTCCCGAAGTGTCTCGGGTTTCTTTTTTTTTTATGACTGACGAAGCCTGTGATTGTTATGCCTTCAAGTGATAGTTTTATCAGTCAACTTTATTACCTTAACCAAATACTCGATGCTTTCTGACCGAAATGTGCATGGACCTCGGTCTGGATTACCAACACTTTGGAAAATTTTGCCATCCTTCCGTGTCACGTGGCAATCCGTCCATGGTGGTAACTGGCATCCATGTAGCTATTAGTCATTTGTGCAGAAACTAGTAAAAAAAGAGTGTATAATCAAGCAATTAAAAAACAGGAGATATATCATCTCAAGTACCTTCTACTCCAAATAATTACATGATTAGAAACGGTGCAATTATAATATCTATTTTTTTTTTTTTTTTGACATTTTTTTCTAAGTGTACACATTTGCACACTCAATCAACATTGCTGCAATGGGAACGTGAACCCTCAACCTCTCATGTGGGGGAAGGAAATACCATTAGGCCAGACCCTTGGTGGTATCCCTAGCCAATTTTAATTTTGCTTCATTCATTTAGTTTGGTGTTGAATCATTTTGGTTATCTAAAAAGGACCACCTTCATTTACTCACCTAGGTCTGTGAATTTTGAATGATTTTATTAATTAGTTTTTTCTCGGATTATATTTTCTGAAAAATTTCAGTGACATGTTCAAATCGTTAGTAAGTGAATTGGATAGGGACAAAAACAAAGTAATAATTGTGATGGACTTTTAGTTGGTTATAATTTGTGTGTGTGTGTGTGTGAGAGAGAGAGAGAGAGAGAGAGAGAGAGTGGTAGTTTGATAAAAAGGGGGGAATAAATAAGTAAATGTGGGGGTGGTTGGAGAGAGGTTTGCGTTGGGAGATGCCTTTTCACTTGCCCTTTTGATTTATTCTGTCAGAATCCAAAGAAGCTTTAATTTTTTATTTGGTATCTCTTTTTGCTTCATGTGATCTTATGCATCCTTTTGAATAATAAATTTGTTCTCATTCTTTACGTTTTGGCTCAACACTGGATGTTAATGTTTTTATAGTGAATGAAAAGCAGAAAAACCTTGCAATGTGGGCATCTCCTTTTTTTCTTCTCTTTTCCCCCTTTAATGCGGAATCACCTAATCACTTTGTAATTTGTATAAGGTGGATCTAACTAACGACGACGACCATCAAATTGATTTTTGTTTTTGGTCTTAATTTTTTTAATTTTCTGTTTCCATCAAATTAGAAACAATAGTAAGAAACTGAATATATATTAATTATCTTAATTTGATAAATATGATGCTAGTCAACATATTCATAAATGATCAAAGGGGTTTTATTATTTGGAAAAAGGGTATGTCATCTCTATGAAGATCTTTTCTTGCTATCCCATTTTTGTGTAGACACATAAGTTCTATATGTGACTAATTATTAACCAATTGTTTTGCTTCTTTGAGTTTGTACAAGTATTCTTATTGATCATGTGTCGTGATCATAAGAAACATTTAATACTATTTTGTACTTTTCCTGAATTAGTGTGGGATGGAGTAGAATTGCATTGTACCTATCTTTATAATAAAAAAAAATTACAGAGCAATCGTTGGCATAACGGTGGAGTGTGACTGTACTTTTGAAAGAAAATTATATTATTATTTTCATTTTTAAAAGAGAAAATAATTGTGCAAGTATAGAGCCCCAAATACTTGCTGAAAAAAAATAGTAAAAAAAGGGATTACAGAACCCCAAATATCAAAATTTCCATTAGTGCATGTCCATACTTTATCGATCCTTCAAGTACCTTGTCTGATATTGGTCCATATAAAGTTGTACATCCATTGACATTCTAATACTTTTAGATTCATAAATATGATTCAACCTTTTCTTTACCTCAAGTTTTCTTTGCATAGAAGATCCATACTTGATTAATGCGTATTTGGAATGAATAAATTACTTTACTGTGGATGATGATGACATTGCCGGTTTACAGTTAGCTGCTAACTTCTTCATATTATAACTTTAGAGTACTTTCTTTATTTCATTAGTATATGATTTCAATGGATTGTGATATGTGTGTGTGTGTGTGTAT